GCATATTCCAGAATCTAATGGACTCGCTCCTTAAAGGGATTCCTGGCGTCACCCCCTTCTTCGATGATGTGTTGATTGCCGGGCCCACACCAGAGGAGTTTGAGGACCGCCTCCGCACTGTTCTGCACCGTTTCCAGACAGCGGGTCTCAAGGTGAAGCGGGAAAAATGTCTACTAGGAGTGCCTCAGGTGGACTTTCTGGGATTTATGGTGGACGCAGAAGGGGTCCACCCAACTGGGGACAAGGTGCGGGCCATTTGTGATGCCCCAGCGCCCAAGAACAAGACTGAACTTCAGGCCTTCTTGGGACTATTGAACTTTTACCATTCCTTCCTTCCCCACAAGGCGGTGGTAGCGGAGCCCCTACACAGACTCCTGGACAAGCGGGCCCCTTGGGTGTGGGGCCAGCGCCAGGAGGCCGCATTCCAGGCAGTCAAGGACTTGCTTGTCTCAAACTCGGTCTTGGCACACTTCGATGAGAGGCTGCCAGTGGTGCTAGCATGTGACGCCTCGCCCTATGGCATTGGCGCTGTCCTGGGACACCAACTCCCGGATGGAAGAGAGGTACCGGTGGCATACTTTTCCCAGACACTCAATGCAACCGAGCGGAACTACTCGCAAATTGACAAGGAGGGTCTGGCAATCGTGAAGGGAGTAAAAAAATTCCATGATTTCTTGTACGGGCGGCCCTTTACTGTGGTGACTGACCACAAGCCGTTGCTTGGCTTGTTTGCCCCCGAAAAGCAGACCCCCCAAGTGCTGTCTCCTCGCGTCCTCAGGTGGTCCATTTTCCTTGCCAGCTACCAGTATGCACTGATTCACCGTCCGGGGAAGGCGATGGGCCATGCGGACGCCCTCAGCAGGCTACCACTACCGGAAACAGGCCCCGACCCAGCACCTGCACAAGAGGTTATGAGCCTGGAGCTGCTTCCCGACCGCCCCATTCAGGCACAAGAAGTTGCAGACCATTCCAAGAAAGATAGGGTCATCTCCCGGGTCCTGGACTGGGTGTGGAGGGGATGGCCCAGCAGCAGCCCCGGGCCAGAATTCACTGGCTACACAACCCGCAAACATGAACTGTCGGCCCACAAGGGGTGCCTGTTATGGGGAAGCAGGGTCGTTGTTCCCCAGCCCCTCCGCAAAAGGGTCCTCACAGCCCTACACGAGACACACCCAGGGGTAGTAAGAATGAAGGCCCTTGCCAGGAGTTATGTGTGGTGGCCGGGGATCGACGGAGAGATAGAGGCCTGGGTCAAACACTGCCAGGCCTGCCAAGAATCCCGCCCAGATCCCCCAAGGGCCCCAGTCCAGTCCTGGGAGTCCGCCCGAGCACCATGGTCACGCCTGCATGTGGACTTCGCTGGCCCCTTTCAGGGGAAAACATTCTTCATAGTGGTGGACTCCTACACCAAATGGCTGGAAGTCGCACTGGTACCGTCCACTTCTACGTCCGCTGCCATCCGGGTACTACGCAGGCTGTTTGCAACCCACGGGCTCCCTGACACTCTCGTCTCAGACAATGGGACTGCATTTACGTCAGGAGAATTCCAAACCTTTACAGCGCAGAACGCCATCCGCCACATCCGTTCGGCGCCATTCCACCCTGCCACCAATGGCCAAGCAGAACGCATGGTGCGTACCACCAAGGACACCCTTCGCCGCATGACGCAAGGGGATTGGGAGTACCGCCTTGCCACATTCCTTCTAGCACAGCACAGCACCCCCAGCTCAACGACTGGCCGGAGCCCCGCTGAACTACTAATGGGTCGGCGCCTTGCAATCAGATTGGACCGCCTTCACCCCGATAGAGCTCAGGATGAGGTAGTGGTGGGGGAAGGCAAGAACCCCCGGACCTTTGAGGCTCAGGACCCAGTGTACGCAAAGAATTTTGGGGCAGGCCCTGCATGGGTACCCGCCACAGTCACCAGGGTCACTGGCCCCGTGTCGTACGAGGTGCTAACAGATGGGGGGCAATGCTGGCACCGCCACTGCGACCAGATACGGCGACGATTCCCGGGAGAAAACCAGGAGGAGGAGGACAGGTCAGAGGAGTCCCAAGGGAACAGTGGGGCAGTGAGGCCCATAGAGCAGCAGGGGCAAGTAGGAGAGGCAGAATCAGTAAATACAGAGAGGACCCGTGAGGCCGAAAGGACACCGGAGCCAGAACCACGACTGAGCGAGCCGCTTGCGCCAGACCAAACAGCCCCATCACAGCCAGCATCCTTGGAACATGAGCCAGAACCTGAACCCCGGACCAGGGAACACCCCAGGCCGCAACGCACACGTAGGCCACCGGCGTACCTTGAGGACTATGAATGCGACCTCCCGGGCAGGACTGGAACTTAGAGGGGAGGGGTGTTATGTACTGAGTTGAATAGGATCCAAACTGCAGCAGTCTGATTGGTCCTAGAACAATAGGATCCAAAAGGCAGCAGTCTGATTGGTCCTAGAACAATAGGATTCAGAATGCAGCAGTCTGATTGGTCCTAGAACAATGCAGCAGTATGATTGGTTGGCAGGAACCACCCAATCATGCTCCAGATAGAAGTGAATCCGCAACCTGATTGGCTTACAGTAGAATTCCGGAATTAGCCAATCATGTGCAGCCCATTGTGTAAATAATGTATATAAAGCAGATACTCTGAGGGGACATTCATTCATTCCTCCTCACCACTATGAGCTGAATAAAGAGCATGAAATCACTTTGCGACTCTGAGTATATTTCATGAGGGGAGTACCCTGTTGCAACAGATCAATAAAGATCAGGCTTACTAGCTGCGATGCTTCTCAATATTCTCTGGCTGGCCTCTGTTATCTTCTCCTGCCAATAGGGAACCTATGTAAGGACTCTATATGGGCTCTTGGATACCCCATAAGGGAAAAGGGCAATTTTTGTTTACAACACTGCAACTTTTTTGCGTAGCTTAAGCCCTGCTGGAATCCGTGGGCTGTGGCTGTTTGGCACCACCCCCTACATATTAATACGTTGCTGTTGTGAGATGAAATGCCCCCTTGAGCTCCTCGGAGCAAAGGCGAGAAATAAATGCAACAATACAGGTAGGGAGAGCTACGTTAGAAGGGGGGGGGGGACCCCATTCTGTTCCAAATGATTAATAAGAAACAACCCCTTTAAAGTGGGAGGTGGGGAACACACATTAAAAGCAACCATTCTGTTCCACAGAGACTCAGATTCTGCATTAAGAATCCTGCAACCTGTATATATCATGCAGATTAACCCGATGGGATGGAGGGAAACTGCCTAATACCAAATTGTTTGCCTATTAGCCTCAATACAGGCTGTTCCGGAGGGCCTTTCCTATTACCTGATGCCCAGTCAGTTTAACCGGACCTGCTTGCCTTTATATATATATATTTATTTCTGCCAATAACCAGTAGAACTGCTTGCCGGGGATTGAATCCTCTGCCCACAAGGCTTGTGTTCTACAGCCTCTCCCTCTTCCACAATTCTGCATTGCGAGAAAAAGCCGTGAGGTCACTTAGGCTGGCCGCTTCTCCACCTTTTCCGATTTCTCCGGCCTGTACACGCATTTTAAACTCTTCTCTTAAGGACTAGAAACTTGCATTCGAAACGAAACCGTGAGATTCTCAGGATATAGGATTCTGCACCCACTACTGCTTCCTGCCCTCTGGTGGAATCTACATACGTATAAAAAACGTTCTGATAATGCTTTTTTAAAAAAAGCCTTTTTAAAAATACATTGAATTTTCCATAATGCTGACCATTGCCACCTAGTGTCACATTGTATATTGTGCTTAAAACATACTTTGAACATTTTATTTGCAGCTGTATAGCTGAGTCCTCTCTCTCTCTCTCTCTCTCTCTCTCTCTCTCTCTCTCTCTCTCTCACACACACACACACACACACACACACATATTCATGGAATAGCCACAGCTATACCCATAAAATAAGGAACCTCAGCTCCCAAGGCTCAAATGTGGCCCCCAAGCCTCTCTGTCTGGCCCCAGTGACAATCTCCCCACCGCACCCTTGAGTGGCCTTGCTTCACACATTCCCGTGTTTTGTGCTGTGTCTCTGAACTCTGATATTGCTGCCTCCATCTTCCCTACATGGACAATAGGGGAGGAGTGTCAGAGGGTGAAGAAGGTAGCCTAGTGCAGTGTTTCCCAAACTTTTTTGGGCAACGGCACACCTGTTTACTGAAAAACAATCTCGCGGCACACCACCATTAAAGCCCCGCCCCGTGACGTCAGCGCGCAGCGTCACGCCGGGAGGGACGCACGAAAGTGAAAGTTTTTTCCCTCCCCCTTGCCGGGGAACCTCCAAGCTTTGGGGGTGGGAGGAGGCAGCAGAGCGAGGGACTGAGGGACGGCGGCAACTGAGGCGGCGGCGGCTGTGGTGGTGGTGGCGGCGATAGCGGGCGGAGGAGGGGGCGGCGGCGGGGCTTGAGGAGCCGTCGCCGGGAGTTGCTGCTGCTGTTGTTGCTGCTGCTGCCCGGACATGCCGGCCTCCTCCTCCTCCGCTGTCTCGCGCTCCTCCCTTTTGCGTGCGCTGCCCCGCCGCTCGGCACCACCACCGCGGAGCCGCCCCCGGCTCGACGCAGATCCTCGCCGCCTCTCACCGCCCGACTCGCCCGCCTCCTTCCCACGGCACACCAGCCAATGTCTCACGGCACAGTAGTGTGCCGCGGAACACCGGTTGGGAAACACTGGCCTAGTGCAAAGAGGTAAAAAATAAATAAATCTACATTTGTTGGCCCCGCCCACCATTAGCATATGGCTCCCATAAGGTCACCCAGAGGGGAATCTGGCCCCTGGCCTGAAAAAAAGGCTCTTCGCTCCTTTCGTGAGAGAACTTGCTTGCACTACTAGGCAAGCCAGCCGATGGGCACACACACACCCCACTTACCCCGGAGGCTCCCCGCTATCTTGAAGGGCCGGTCTTGTGTTGGGCAGTGGCAGAAATCCAAAGGGAAAGCCCAGCTGCCTTTGCAAGCATGAGAAGCAAAACACAAGCCACGTGAAAAGCAAAATCTCCTTTAAATAATGGTTACTAAAAACGACAGAACTGTCAGAGGCGAAACAAGAGGAATCAAACAAGTGCATTACAGAGGAATGTCAGTGCGAAATAACAGGCCCGAAACCACAGGATTGGGCCCGGGACTGGAGACCCTAAGCCAGCCTTTGCTGACCTGATGCCCTCTCCAAAAGCGCTGGCTGGGCCTGTCAACAAAACGTCTTGAGAGGGCTCCCGCCGCTTTGGCAAAAGCTGTCTTAATCTGTTCCTGGCTGAGTGCCGTGCCCTGTGCAAGACACAAGGACCGGATAAGGCTGCCCTCTTACCAGGAATATATAAAAACCATTCTGGGGGCTCCACTCCTGTACCTTTAAAGCCCCCTCGTCTACAGAAACGTCGGTGAAACGTCCTCACAGCACAGAAATTAAGGGAAAAAAATCATCTGCAGTGTTTTATGTGGTTTGTTTGTTTCAGATCAAGCCATGGTTAAAAGACGCAGCTACAAAGGCCCGTCAAGAAGTTGGCAACGTTGCTGAGTCAAGAGATGGGGTGATCACATCCGATCTTCCCAGTGGATCTCCCTTGGCAAATCCAGTTCAGCGTGGCACCGTTCCCCTCTGTCCTCACAACAAAATGGCGGATGGGGGGTGTTTGGTGCAGTCTTTTGCAGGGGCGTCAGCAAGGTATCAGACTTCCCTCTGAGGAGGGAGCAACATATGTTGTTACTTGTGCTGGGGGTAGCCAACATGGCGCCCTGCAATGTTGTTGGACTACATATCCCATCAGTCTTCCCCAGCATGGGATTATAATCTTGCCACATCTGGAGGGGGCTATGCTAGCTGCTCCTGGCTTTATGCAGTCCAGGATCCAGTTACCAAGTGGCTCTGCTCTACTGTAAGCGGTCCCAGATGGACGGGGGGATGTCACAGCATGAGTGACATCTGCTGGAAAGACCTAGGCAGCCGTCACACAGGTCTATGGAGCAGAGGAGCAGAATGAAGACAGCTACTTTCCCTCCATTTTCAGGGCTCATGTGCCTTTTTTGGTCAGAGTAGCAGGCAGAAGTGCAACAGGTACAGCTTTTACACACAACCTGCCTAAGGAGCAAAGCTGCGGCTGTTGAATTTTGGCAAACTAGACATCTGTTAAAAAAAAAAAAAAAAGGAAAGCAATCACCCTACATAAACCCCTCCTGGCTTTCCTGACGGCCAGAAATCTATACGAGGCTTTGCCCCCATAACCTCATCTCCCTGCTAAGAAAAAGGGGCTGCACCAGTTGAGCTGGTGCCTGTCACCACCAGAGATTGGTGATTGGTTGGCAGGTCTGTCATGAGCATAGAAGCCATTCCATAAGTCAGTCTGGACAGTTCAGTTGGTTAGAGCGTGGTGCTGATAATGCCAAGGTTGCGGGTTCGATCCCCGTATGGGAGAGCTTCATAGTCCTGCACTGCAGAGGGGTTGGACTAGATGATCCTCCGGGTCCCTTCCAACTCTGTGATTCTGCTCCCAAGCCAGTCAAGAGCCTGCAATCTTCATATAAGGTCATGCAGCTTACAACACCATTTCCCCACCACCCTGCTGCTTACCCTCACAGTCACAAAGGGCTAGAAACCTGGCCACAAAAGATGAATTTCTCCAGAAATGCTACGCCTTGATACCACGTTCAACCTGTTTTCCTGAGCTGCTGCAGAATTGGCCCCACGCACATAGCTCCAGTTAAGTCCGCAAGTGGCACAGGAAGGAACCAACCAGCGAGCCACCGGATATGTCGTGGGGCAGAATTTGGGGGCCAAGGCTGACTGCTGCCTCCCACAGAGATAAGCGGTCCAGTTTGGGTGGCAAACCCCAGAGATTTGAAAGGGGTTGTTTGATCAGTTAGGCTTTTGGTCCCCGCCCCCCGGCACAATTATTTGGTGTTTTGAACTGCAACCCAGTAGATTCAAGAAATCTAGATTAATAGATCCTGCGACATTCACTAGACGGAATCTGCATGGGGTAGGGAAACACTGCTTCTGAGTCAAGAAGCAAACATTTTGGCTTGGTTTCCAGATGATGGATGACCACATCTTGGCCGACAATGTTTTAGAGGTTTCATTACAACGTGATTGCACTCACCACCTGCAGATGTGGGGGGATACAAGTCCCACGGAAGAGTAAGACCACTTGAAATCAACAGGAATGACAAAGCCCACAGATTTCAACGGGTCTACTTTGAGTCGGAGTTCGTTGATTGCAACCCTTTATAGCAGGTGGAGGAAAATCTTTGACCTTCCAGGCCTTGTTGAACTACAACTCCCATCATCCCTGGCCACTGGGCCATGCTTGCTAGGGCAGATAGGAGTTGCCATTCAGCCTCATTTAGACGGTCAGAGGTTCCCCAGACCCAAATTTGCAAGTGCTTCATTTTTGTCCTTTCCGAGTTGTCAGGGGCATCGTTCGACTCGATTACTTTAACTGATTAAAGTCATATATTGCAGCCTCCGCTTGGGGATTTAAAGCATAAAAATCAGAGCTGGCCAAATATGTCCTTGCACGTCAGGGCAAAGGACGATATGGCTCCCTCCATTTCGTGTGCTGGGAAGCATCACCGGTGGTTGGGTTTCTCTTCAATGCCGGCAGTGGGACGCCATCCTCTCCTAGGGCAGCAACAACTTAGGGGTGGGCTAGCTAAGGGGCTGCGAAGGAGCCCAGGCTGCAAGTCCAGCTCTGCCCTCACACATCCTTGCTGCCATTCCCCGCCTCCCAGGATTTGCCACCTGAGAGGCACCTGCCTCCCTCCACCTAGCGGTAGGACCGGCTCCTAGAAGAACGTCTCTAAGAGCCAGATTTTCAGATGTGGGGGGTGGAGATTCTCCGGCGATTCTCAGCTGCTCAGCCGAGCCGCAACCGGGTCGTTGGCGCTCAGAAGAGAAAAGCTGGCAAGAAAAGGACCAGTCTTTTGAGATGGCCAGAAAGGTGACCCCTTTGAAGTCATTCATTCCGCCGCTGGTCTGGGAACAGAGAAAGTCGCGGCACCCCTTCGAAAGGCGGCAGGGCGTGTTCAAGGGCAAATTCCGCCGTCTCGGTCCTTTCGGAGACTCCGGGGAACTTGCCCCCACTGCTATCATGAGCGTGGGGGCCAGAGTCTCCTTCGCAGCGCCGGCGGCAATCCCCGCCCCTCTGCAAACCCCAGAGGCTGCGGGATCGCTGAGAACCTCTCCGTCTTCCTTGCCTCGCAATTTAATCTAGTTGATGGAGCCCGGGTCAGCCAAGGGCATGGTGTGAAGGACCTCATCCAGGAGCTGCAGGGCTCGGTGCAAGTGGACTTCGATCCAGCAGGGAGTGTGCTTGATGCTCTGGCGGGGGTAGTCCGGGCCCCAGCCCTTGACGAAGCTGAGCCGGAGGATGCACAGGCGGCGGAGGTCGTCGACGCCAATGCCGGCCGCAGCTGAGAGGCCTGGAGGGAAAGAAAGGGAAGAGTGCAAGGCTTGGCTGTGGCTGTGGCTACTGCCGCTGCAGCACACCAGGGGCTGAGTGATATCTGTTTTTCAACATCATGATAGATCACCAGGTAAACATTGCGATACACAGTGGTACCTCAGGTTACATATCCTTCAGGTTACATACGCTTCAGGTTACAAACTCCACTAACCCAGAAAAGTGCTTCAGGTTAAGAACTTTGCTTCAGGATGAAAACAGAAATCGTGCTCCGGCGGTGTGGCAGCAGCAGGAGGCCCCATTAGTTAAAGTGGTGCTTCAGGTTAAGAACAGTTTCAGGGTAAGAACAGACCTCCGAAACAAATTAAGTATTTAAGCCGAGGTACCACTGTACAGCGGTACCTCGGGATGTGAACGGGATCCGTTCCGGAGCCCCGTTCGCATCCTGAACAGAACATAAGATGCAACTGCACGTTCGCGTTTCGCCGTTTCGTTACTTCTGGGTCGCTGCGGAGCGCAACCTGAAAATACCGGTACTTATCCTGAAGCGTATTTATCCCGAGGTATGACTGTACCGATATATTGCCGTGTCTGAAATAAGGATGGAGCTCTATAGAGGCATTGGGTGGCTTCACAGTTTCCCCCCGCTTCTTAGGGTTGCCATACGCCCGGGATTTCACAGACATACCCGGAATACTGCAGTCGGAAGTAGCGTCTGGGTGCACCTCAGTGGGGGTGAATCCACTTGGCACTTACCCACAGCTGGTGCGATGCCCCCCACGGAGCCAGGCCCAGGGATGCTCCCCGACACAGCGGCTGCCTGAGCCGCCGCTGCCGCCTGCGCTGTCGCTGCTTGTTGGTGCATCTGGCGGTGGCACTGGCGAAGGTCAAAGACCTGCATGGAAAGGCAGGAGCGAGGACTCTGCGTTAGAAACTTCAGCACCTGCTGTGAGCAATGCTCAGGAAGGATGACAGCTGTCAACCTGTACCACCAGGAAGGTGGCAAGGTGATAATATTAATGATAAGATGATGATAATAATTGAAATACTTTATTGTCACTTGTACAACTTGTTTACAGTGAGATTACACGAGCACCCCCCCCCACTCAGCTCTCTTTGTCTTAATTCCCCTCGTTTACTGACACACACACACACACCAAACCCAAAAGTCAGTTGCCCTGTTGTTATCTTTTCATTCAGCAGCCCAACAGCCCACGGATAGAAGCCGTTCTTTACCCTGTTGGTGCGACTAATCCTGCTTCTATATCTTCTGCCTGAGGGCAGGAGATCAAGAAAGTGCCGGCCAGGGTGTGAATCATCCCTGAGAATTTTCCTCACTCTCCTGAGGCAACGTTCTTCCGCTATTTCATCCAGCGGATTCACGGGACAGCCCATAATATCTTGCGCTGTATTCACCACCCTCTGTAGGCACTTCCTATCAGTTGATGTCAAACCAGCGTACCACACCGTGATGCAGTATGAAAGGACACTTTCTATTGTTGAGCGGTAGAAGGAAATCATCAAATGTTGATTGACATCATTCTTCCGCAATACTCTGAGGAGATGGAGTCTCTCTTGGGCTTTCTTAACCACCTGGGTTGTATTTATTTTCCAAGTAAGGTCTTCACTGAGATAAACTCCTAGGAATTTAAAGGAAGAGACTCTCTCCACACAGCCCTCCCCGATGTACAGCGAGGCTAGTTCTCCTCTCTTCCTCCGAAAGTCCAACACCATCTCCTTTGTCTTGCTGATATTAAGGTGCAAGTTGTTCCCTAGGCACCATGTAGATATTTTTTGGACCTCCCCTCTATACGCTGATTGGTCTCCACCTGTTATTAAACCCATTATGGTGGTGTCATCTGCAAACTTAATAATTGCAGTAGACAATAATTATAATATTATAATTATAATAATAATTAGACAGGCAGAGGTACTTGTGGTGAGCACAGACACCAGCAAGCCTATTCAGACACAGGATTCAGTTACATTGCTTTTAAATTTTCTTTATTTTGCACTGAGTCAAACCAACAGCCCTTGCAGCTTTATACTGTCTACACTGTCTGGCAGCAGCTCTCCAGGGTACCAGGCAAGGGAAAATTCCAAGCCCTATGTGGAGATGCTGGGGAAGTGAACCTTCGGCACACAAAGCAGATGTTCAGAGCTATGGTCCTTCCCTGTTAGATTTGCCCTTGGCAACCCTCTTGCTCCCGGGCCCTCAAAAAAAACCAGCACCGGCCCTGACCTTGATGTAGGCGCCAGGGTAGATCTTGTGCACAGCATCCCCCGGAGCACGGCCAGCCTCCCGGTCCAGGTAGTAGCTCTGCACAAAGACGGCGTGGTCACTCAGACACCGCATCCAGACATCACCTTCACCACGGCACTGCAGCTGGACTCCTTTCCCAATGTGCAGCCTGGAAAAGAGAATACTCCAGTTCCCCTCCTGCCTGGTTCCCTGTCCCAAACTGTCAGGGGTAAGTCAGCAACAATAAACAACAAATCACTCAGGGCCAGTGAAGTTAAATCTATATTCAAGGAAACGAACCACAGCTCAGGCCTAGTGGTCTCAGCAACTCTTCCTAGGGGGTCTTGTCCCAACGACACAGTTGCAAAGACTTTCCCATCTCTCTCTAAGGCTCCTCCTTTCTCGGGTTTTTCCGTCTCAAACCATGTCTGCACACAACTATCTTTTCATTTCTGTGTGTGTCACAGCAACCTGCCCCAATTCCTCTCCAGCCTCCACTTCGACCGCTGATTCTGGACCGCTCTCTGCCACAGAATCCGCTAAAGAGTGCCACAGCAATTCTTCTTCAGTAGGTCTTGCCCCAGGAGGCAGTTGCAGAGACGGAAGACCCCCTCCTTCCCACAGCTGCCCTAAGCCTCCTCCTTTCTCAGGTTCCCCAAGCAATCTGAGACTGTGCCTGTGCAAAGCTAACTTCTTCTCCACTCTTTTCATGCCCCTTCTGGTTCTAGGAGACCAGAGGAGAGGAGAGTTTGTTGCAGCAGGAGAGGGAGACCAGCCTGACTTCACCAGCCTGACTCATCTCTGCCTCTTGGCCTTCCTACTCTCCAGTGTCACGGTCTGGTTTATGGGTGGTCAAAGTCCCGGTGGAGGATGTCGGGACTGGGGGCAAGACGGCAGGGTGGGAGCAGGAACGAGAGTCCAGAAGCCAGGAGTCAGGAAGCCAAGGGTCAGAGACCCAGGAGTCAGGAAGCCAAGGGTCTGAGGGTCAGGAAGCAAGGAGCCAAACGTGGCAAGGCAGGAAGTGTGTTGCTATGACAAAGAGCCAAAGGGAAATGCTGACCTTATATCCCTTCCCGGCTCTTGCCACCAGGTGCTGTGAGTTACCAATCGGCCTCACCTGTGCGGCCACAGCTTGCCTCTTCAGAACAAACTTAGGAAAACCCCAGTCCTGCGAAGCCCTACCGGTCAAGACCCTGGCTCCTGCACGCACTCCTGACATCCAGTTTCTGCTTCTGCCTCTGTTTTTGGACTCCTCTGTCACAGATTCTCCCTGCTCGCCAAAGCCTGTTGCCTCTGCTGCTTCCAACACCTCCTCCTACCAGTCTGCTCCCTCCAACCACTCGTCATCACCCCACCACCAATCCCTGGACTCTGAGCCTTCTTCCCCTGGGGGCTCCCTTGGGGTTCCCCGGCTGGTACCTCCCACCACTCCTCAGCACCCAGCCGGTCAATGACTCCCGCTTGCTGCAACAGCCACGATTCAGTGCTGCTCGGTGTTTAGCTAAAGTTGCCGTTCCACAAACCTTAAGCCTTCCTCCCCAAACCCTGCAGATAAACCCCCATTCTGTCCCCGGTCCGCTGCCACTTAGGCGCTCAACCCCTCGACATCAGAAATAGCGGGAGGGTTCTTTTTGCAATGGAAACCCGTTGCTCTCTGCGTACACCTTTCACACTGAGGTCCAGCACTGAGGGCCTTCTGGCGGTTCCCTCACTGCGAGAAGCCAAGTTACAGGGAACCAGGCAGAGGGCCTTCTCGGTGGTGGCGCCCGCCCTGTGGAACGCCCTCCCATCAGATGTCAAAGAGAAGAACAACTACCAGACTTTTAGAAGCTTCTAATGTTTAACAGACTACTGTATTTTAATACCGTATTTTTCACTCTATAAGACGCACCAGACCACAAGACGCACCTAGTTTTTGGAGGAGGAAAACAAGAAGAAAAAAAATCTGAATCTCAGAAGCCAGAACAGCAAGAGGGATCCCTGCGCAGTGAAAGCAGCAATCCCTCTTGCTGTTCTGGCTTCTGGGATAGCTGCGCAGCCTGCATTCGCTCCATAAGACGCACACACATTTCCCCTTACTTTTTAGGAGGGAAAAAGTGAGTCTTATAGAGCAAAAAATACGGTACTTTGTTGGAAGCTGCCCAGGGTGGCTGGGGAAACCCAGGCAGATGGGCTTGGTATAAATAATAAATTATTATTATTATTATTATTATTATTATTATTAATCTCCCTCCCCACTGCCCTGACCTGGCGCGCTCGCTGGTGTCGGTGCGGTGGACGTTTGAGAGCTGTCCCAGGCAGAAGCGGTCTCCGCCCGAAGGGTCAACGTATCCGTCCACAGTGACCACGGCGCAGTTGGCGGGCACCTTGAAGATCTCTCCCACTTGCACGTCCATCTCGAAATAGGCGATCGAGCACCAGAACTCAGGGCCTGGGGAGAGACGGGCATTCATCTTAAAAATCCGGGCCGTTGTGGGAATGGGGGAGAGAAAAAGTCAAATAAGGGAGGTTGCGTCACTTACCAGGGTGACTGGAGACTGGCGGCTGGTAGGGAGGCGAACTGTGATGAGCAGGCCCTGAAATATAAGGCAAGGAGGGGTTTTGCGGTAAATAGGGACAGGAATGCCAAGACCTTTGCTCTTCTGTTTCCTACATTCACTATACAGTGGTACCTCGGGTTAAGTACTTACCGTATTTTTCGCTCTATAGGACGCACTTTTTCCCCTCCAAAAATTAAGGGGAAATTTGTGTGCGTCCTATAGAGCAAATGCAGGCTGCGCGGCTAAGCCCAAAGCCAGAACAGCAGGACGGAGCGCTGCGGAGCGCTCCGTCTCGCTGTTCTAGCTTGGAGATGGCTGCATACAAAGCCTCTGCTGGGCAGCGGGGTGCCTTCACCCCGCTGCCCCACAGAGGCTAGCAAGGCTGTTCCCAAGCCAGAACAGCGAGACGGAGGGCTTCACCCCGCTGCCCCGCAGAGGCTAGAAAAGCTGTTCCCAAGCCAGAACAGCGAGGCGGAGGGCTCCGTCTCGCTCTTCTAGCTTGGGAATGGCTGCGCGCAAACCCTCTGCAGGGCAGCGAGGTGCCTTCACCCCGCTGCCCTGCGGAGGCTACAAAGGCTGTCCCCGAAGCCAGAACAGTGAGACGGTCTCGCTGTTCTAGCTTGGGGATGGTAGCTGCCTGAAGCCTCCAGAGCGCAGCGGGAACTCCCGCTGCGCTCTGGAGGCTTTGGGTGAATGCACCTTGAACGCACCTTGTTTTAGAGGGGGAGAACAAGAAGAAAAAAAATTTCCCCTGTTCTCCCCCTCCCATGGTCCGGTGCGTCCTATAGGCCGTAGCGTCCTATAGAACGAAAAATACGGTAATTCGTTCTGGAGGTCCATACTTAACCTGAAACTGTTCTTAACCTCAAGCACCACTTTAGCTAATGGGGCTTCCCACTGCTGCCATGCCACCGGAGCACGATTTCTGTTCTCATCCTGAAGCAAAGTTCTTAACCTGAAGCAATATTTCTGGGTTAGCGGAGTCTGTAACCTGAAGCTTATGTAACCTGAAGCGTATGTAACCTGAGGTACCACTATACAGTGGTGCCCCGCAAGACGAATGCCTCACAAGACGAAAAACTCGCTAGACGAAAGGGTTTTCCGTTTTTTGAGTCGTTCCGCAAGATGAATTTCCCTAAGGGCTTGCTTCGTAAGACGAAATGTCTTGCGAGTTCTTGCGAGTTTGTTTCCTTTTTCTTAAAGCCGCTAATAGCCGCTAAGCCGCTAATAGCCGTGCTTCGCAGGACGAAAAAACCGCAAGACGAAGAGACTCGCGGAACGGATTAATTTCGTCTTGCGAGGCACCGCTGTAACTCATTCTGCTTCCCTGAGCGGAAGTTTGAACCCAGGATTCCTGGCCAACAGACGCCCCCTAAACCACCTGTGAGCTTCAAAGCTACTATTGGACTCCAACTCCCAGCAGCCCCCAGTCAGCATGGCCAATGGCCAGAGATGATGGGAGTTGTAGTTCCAACAGTGTTATTGGACTCCAGCTGAATCTTGGGAACCTGTAGTTTTGTCAAGGGAGCTGAGAGTTGCTAAAAGGAGACCCCAATTCCACCCCCGCAGAGCTACATTTCCCAGAATTGCCAGGGAAGAGGGACATACTCTTAAACCACTTTGGGAATTGTAGTTCTGTGAGGGGGAACAAGGGTCTCCTAACAAGCCCCAGCACGTATAAAAACTACGGTTCCCAGAATTCTTTGGTGGAAGCCAGGACCGTATAACGTAGTATAACTGCAGGTGCAGTTACGTGATTCTGCCACAGGGGGCAGCAAGATGAATAATGCCGTTTTTTGGGGGAAAGTGAACTGCAGTGGAACCAAAACGGTGTTGCAGACACCCAGGGCCCTCCTTTTTGCTTCGCTTTGCTTGCCAAGACGCACAGTAATGGTTTGAATGGTGAAGAGGAGGCTGAGGGTAACTCCGTCCGTTCTGCTGCTGCTGGGGAGCGGGGAGCGGAGGCGGGGTGGGCTCCTGGCTCCTCCCAACGGAGCTGTAGCTTGGGGTGCCGCCGTTCCCTGTCCAGCTGGTTGTCGAATCTTCCAGAGGCCCAGGGAAGGAAGAGAAGAAACAGGTGAGAGCTTATCATTTGAACGCCTCCGTCCTGCACCCGGCCCAACAATGGCACCCTATACTTACTCTGGTAGGGCAGTTTGGGGGCACACCCATTTTGCTGGGCGCTCGGGGGAGCCGGAGAAGGGGCTGGGGGGTGCGAGGGGGTGGAGATCTGAAGAAGACCCTCACCATGAAGGAGAGGGAGCAGGGGCCCCCCAGGAGGGCCTAAGAGTAAGCATGAGAGAGAGAGAGATCAATTTTATCTGCAAGCTACTATTGCAGATTCATTTCATTTCCCCATCACATTGCATGTCCCCATCACAGATCCATTGCATTGCTCCCATCATATTGCATTTCCCCATTGCAGATCCACCAAATTTCCCCAACATATTGCATTTCCCAGTCACACTGCATGTCCCCATTGCAGGCCCATTGCATTGCCCCCATTATATTGCATTTCCCAGTCACATTGCATTTCCCCATCACAGATCCATTGCATTGCCCCCATCATATTGCATTTCCCCATTGCAGATCCACCACATTTCCCCAACGTATTGCATTTCCCAGTCACATTGCATGTCCCCATTGCAGGCCCATTGCATTGCCCCCATTATATTGCATTTCCCAGTCACATTGCATTTCCCCATCACAGATCCATTGCATCGCCACCATTATATTGCATTTCCCAGTCATATTGCATTTCCCCATCACAGATCCATTGCATCGCCCCCATTATATTGCATTTCCCCATTGCAGATCCACCACATTTCCCCAACGTACTGCATTTCCCAGTCACATTGCATGTCCCCATCGCAGGCCCATTGAATTGCCCCCATCATATTGCATTTCCCCGTCACATTGCATTTCCCCTTCACAGGTCCATTGCATTTCCCCATCACAAATCCAACCCACTTGAGGGGAGGCGAGAACAGTTCCTTTCCCTTTCCCTTATGTCTCCCTTCCTCCCTGCTGCTGCTCCCCAAAAAGAAAAAAAACTTACCTGGGGGAGACAAAGGCAATGCGGGGTAGATGCCAGCGGTAGGATGGGGCGGTTCCGGAAGCTGCAGGGGAGATAAGGGCTGGTAGGGCTCTGCCTGAGGAAGACCGGCCTTGATCCCAGGGCCGGGGTGATCTGCCGGCGGAGGAGGCGGGACCTCCATCTGGATGCAGTCGGGAATGAATTCCTCTTTCACGAGCCGCGGGGGAGGTGCTGCAGGGGGGCGGAAAGAGGAGGCGGCTCAAACACAGCGAAGACGGGAGAAAACAAGCCCACTGAGTCAGCAACTGCTGTTCAGAACGACATCTGAAGGCAGCCCTGTACAGGGAAGCTTTTCATAGAATTATAGAGTTGGAAGGGACCCTGAGGATCATCTAGTCCAACCCCACTTGCAATGCAGGAATATGCAGGTGTCCCTTGCGGGGATCGAACCTGCCGCCTTGGCATCATCAACAGAACGCTCTAAGGATGTGATATTCTGTCGTGTTTTTGTATACAGCCGTACCTTGGTTCTCAAACGGAATTTGTTCCGGAAGTCCATTCGACTTCCAAAAAAGTTCGGAAACCGAGGCGCAGCTTTCGGTTGGCTGCAGGAGCTTCTTGCACTCCATCGGAAGCCGCGTCGGACGTTCGGATTCCCAAAAACGTCCACAAACCGGAACACTCGCTTCCGGGTTTGCGGCGTTCGGGAGCCAAAACGTTTGAGTCACCAGGCGTTTGAGATTCAAGGCACGACTGTATTCTGTTGGAAGCTGCCCAGAGTGGCTGGGGCAACCCAGCCCGATGGATGGCATATAAATTGTTGTTGTTGTTGTTGTTCAGCAGTACCTGGAAGGTCAGAGGTCCGCCCCCAGTCCTGTCCTAGGCCATCATCCAGAAAAACAAAGCAGGATTGTATCTCACCTGTATTCTGGATGTTCAGTCCTGTAGAACGAGAGAGAGAAGAAAGTGGGTGTGTTATATATCGTATGAGCTCCAGCCGACATTCTCTGAGGCCAGAAATGTGCTTGACATCTTTCCGCAGGGCCTGCAAGACAGAGCTGTTCTGCCTGGCCTTGGGTTTGGACTCAGTCTGACCCTTATGTTTCCCTCCCCTTATGGTTTTGATCTATGGGCTACTTTTAAAATGAGGCTGCATTTTAAATTGCATTTTCACCTGTATTTTAAATTGGGGTCCCCCCCCTATTATGTTTTTGCTGTAATTTTACTGGTGTTTGCCACCCTGAGCCCGGCTCTGGCTGGGGAGGGCGGGGTATAAATAAAATAAATTATTATTATTATTATTATTAAGTCCAGCCTAGGGGCTCGATTTGACTGACGTTTCAACGAGGAGCCAGCGTGGGACCCTTTCTGGTCCAACCCCCTCCCTTCTCCCCAGCTAACCTCCTAGGCCGAATGGCATGGGCTGACATCTTTTCTGCCCCCCACCGCTGACCCGGTGCCTGGCGATGGGTGCCTCTGACCATGTGCAGAGTTGGCTTGGGAGCCCTTTCAGGGGCCCCAAAGTAGGGTTGGGATACTCAAAGGGCAAGAAAAAGAAACAAACTCTCCCTCAGCGAAACAATAAAAAAATTACATGCCAAGTCGAACTGTGGCCGAATTGCCTCTGAGCATGTCCAGACAGCACGCAACAGAGAGACAAATGGCCTGTGTGTACACATAGCTAAGGTTAAATACCTTCCAAGGGCATGCAAAGTACATTTTCTCTCAGCGGAGCAATTAATATTTTGTTTTGAAAAGCAGCTACAGTCAAGTTGCCTCAGAGTGTGTACACTGCCAGTTTTCATCTGAATGAGGTGGTTTGAAAAAGCAACACCAGAATGAATTTAAGGACGTGGTGCCTCTGGGCAATTGAAGATTGTCTCATCCAGAAAACACCTTATGCTGAAAATCTGTAAATTAAGGTATCGTTAAGGGGCGGAATAATGAAAACACAAACCTACACAATGTAGGTTATTATTATTTTAATTCCTGCCCTCCTGTTCTGGCAAACCTTCAGTTGGTGGAGATGCCAGGCTGGGCGTAAGAAATTTGGATCGGTTGGCATAGCAACCTGCTAATATCCACTGTGTGCTCCGTGGAGTCGAATATTTCCATTTACAGATAGGTAAGAAGGCAGGTATGGGACGCGGGTGGCGCTGTGGGTTAAACCACGGAGCCTAGGACTTGCCAAATCAGAAGGTGAGCAGTTCAAATCCCCGCGACGGGGTGAGCTCCCACCCTGCTCCTGCCAACCTAGCAGCTCGAAAGCACGTCAAAGTGCAAGTAGATAAATAGGTACCGCTCCGGCGGGAAGGTAAAGGGCGTTTCCGTGTGCTGCTCTGGTTCGCCAGAAGCGGCTTAGTCATGCTGGCCACATGACCCGGAAGCTGTACGCCGGCTCCCTCGGCCAGTAAAGCGAGATGAGCGCCGCATCCCCAGAGTCGGCCACGACTGGACCTAATGGTCAGCGGTGCCTTTACCTTTACATTTAAGAAGGCAGGTGGAAACGGCCAAGTGCCCTTTGCCTGCCTGCCTGCCTTGGGAGCAGAGGTGATGTTAGGAGGCTCAGAAACAGTGGCAGAGAAACTTTCCTCTCTGTCTCCAGACGAAGGGCCGCACCCCATCCTGAGCAACTTTCTGGGGGCCACATGAAGGTGGGGGGGCAGAGGCAAAAGGGGTGCTAAATTTACCTTCGTACAGTAGGCTACACACATTCACACAACCCTCGCTTTCCTCTATCCAAGAGGCGTGATCTAGCCGTGCAAGGAGAGAGTGCAAAGCGAGGGCCGGTGAGGGGGTGTTCTGAGGGCCGGATGGAGAGACCCAGAGGGCCGCATTGGGTTCCCGAACTTGAGCTCCCACTCTTGACACCCCATTGGCCTATTCCGAAGTAGATCCACTGAGGCAGCTGTGGGGGTACTCGGCTTCTATAGGCGTCACCCACGAGGGACCCACTCACCGATGCCCGGAGACACCACCCGCTCGTAGTGGTAGGGGTTGACGCAGACGCTGTCGTACTTGAGGTCGAAGGCGAACTGGCAGAACTTGACGTGCTTGAGCTCGTTCTTGTGCAAGTCCGGCCAGCGCCACAGGCGGGAGTAGATCACGTGGGGGAAGCCTTTGCGCCCGGCCACCTGGTTGCGGGGAGAAGGGGGTACGTGGAGGGGAAAAAGATGGCAGAGGACACCGTTAGCGCAGGAGCGGAGATGGCGAGGGCAGATGCAGACCCTCCAAGTCTCCCTATTTTCCGGGGACCGTCTGGGATTTACAGAAGCCGTCCTTGGTTTCTGATTTGATCCATGAACGTCCCACTTTTTTTCATCAGAGAAATGTGGGGGGGTATGGAGTTATGTGACCCCTGAGTAACTATGCAACCTTTAGAAGACATCTGAAGGCAGCCCTGTATAGGGAAGTTTTGTTTTTTTAATGTTTAACGATTTATTATGTTTTTATATACCTGAAAGGAGCGTCAGGTATATACCTGAAGGAGCGTCTCCACGCCCGGACGCCGAGGTCCAGCGCCGAGGGCCTTCTGCCGGTTCCCTCACTGCAAGAAGCAAAGCTACAGGGAACCAGGCAGAGGGCCTTCTCGGTAGTAGCGCCCACCCTGTGGAACGGCCTCCCACCAGATGTCAAAGAGATAAACAACTACCTGACATTTAGAAGATATCTGAAGGCAGCCCTGTTCAGGGAAGTTTTTAATGTGTGACATTTTAATGTATTTTTCATCATTCTTGGAAGCTGCCCAGAGTGGCGGGGTACAAATAATAAATTATTATTATTATTATTATTATTATTATTATTATTATTATTATTATTTACATGTTGGAAGCTGTCCAGAGTTGCTTGGGCAACCCAGTCAGATGTATGGGGTATAAATAACATCATCATTGTTATCATGGAATAGGACATCCCTATTTTCATCGGAGAAATGTCGGAGGGTATGTTAAGAGGAGCCCACCTGGAGCAGATTTAAAGGACAGGAGGGCCTCTGCTGTGCGGCAGGGGGTTATTTACATATTTATTATTACATTTTTATGCCACTGAAGAGCTCAACATGACCCCAGCGCTTTCCCTGCTCTACTTTTCATTCTCACAGCAACCCTGAGAGGTAGCTTCAGGCTGACAGACAGTGACTGGCCCCAAGTTGCCCAGCAGGTTTCATGACTGAGGGGGGACTCGAACCCAGGTCTCCCAGGCCCTAGACCCGACATTGCTGCACATGGGCTCTCCACTCACACGCAGGACAGATATGGACCGGGGAACCTCTGACCCCATAGAGAAGAATCAGGGAATTTTTTTTCAGACTGAGGGCCATGTTCCCACCTGCCGAGGGCCACCTTGCAGTGGTGGGCGGGTCTAGAGGTCCAAAGTGGGTGGGGCAACGGAGGTCCATGAATGTAGATGTTGCCGTTGTGAAGTAGGCTGGCTTCAACACACTCACAGATCCTGCAGCCATGCAAGGAAGAAGCACGATCCGGGGTCAAGGAGCCGCTCTGGCCAGGGTGGAGTTGCCTGGATCTCAGCACACTCCTCCACTGAGCTCCCCACTGAAAGCCCCACAGGATTTCTCCTCCTCCTCCTCCTCATTTTATTATTTATACCCCAACCATCTGGTTGGGTTTTCCCAGCCACTCTGGGCGGCTCCCAACAGAACACTAAAAACAGAATAAAACATCAAACATTACAAACTTCCCTAAACAGGGCTGCCTTCAGATGTCTTCTAAAAGTCAGATAGTTGTTTATTTCCTTGACATTTGATGGGAGGGCGTTCCACAGGGCGGGCGCCACCACCGAGAAGGTCCTCTGCCTGGTTCCCTGTAACCTCGCTTCTTGCTGGGAGGGAACCACCAGAAGGCCCTCGGAGCTGGACCTCCATGTCTGGGCTGAACGATGGGGGTGGAGACGCTTCTTCAGGTATACAGTGGTACCTCAGGTTAAGTACTTAATTCGTTCCGGAGGTCTGTACTTAATCTGAAACTGTTTTAACCTGAAGCACCACTTTAGCTAATAGCGCCTCCTGCTGCTGCCACGCCGCCGGAGCCCGATTTCTGTTCTCATCCTGAAGCAACGTTCTTAACCTGAAGCACTATTTCTGGGTTAGCGGAGTCTGTAACCTGAAGCGTATGTAACCCGAGGTACCACTGTACTGGGCTGAGGCTGTTTAGGGCTTTAAAAGTCAGCACCAAGACGTTGAATCATAGCTGCCAACTTTCCCCTTTTCTTGTGAGGAATCCTATTCGGAATAAGGGAATTTCCCTTGAAAAAAAGGGAAACGTTGACAGCTGTGCTTTGAATTGTGCTCCTAAACGTAATGCTCAGGCACTCCTGTTGCCAGAGCTGCAAATTCCATGTATCTCACAGCAGAGAAGGAATCAATTTCCCCATTTTCCTCCAACTCGATGCAAGAAAATACAAAACAAACAGGCGTAGTTTTATCCCCTCCACCCTCCGCAAGAACCTTCCTTTCTTTCCTGGGGGGCCGGTGCATGCATGTGTTGTGGACAGGGCCCTCGCACTCATTTTTGGCCCTCGCACTCATATTTCCCCATACGGTTTCTGGCTGACGCTGAATTCAGACATAACAACAGCCCCCCCCCCTTTCCCCGCGGCTTCAAGAACCAGACAGTGACTCATCCTCTGGGCAGACAGGGAGGGAGGGGGCACAGTGTGGCTAGCAGAGAAAAAGAAAGAGATTTGTTTGGGGGTGAGGGTTAAAAGGGAAGGGGTTGGTGACCCCCACCCCCCAAAATGAAACCTCAAGAGTCCTCTTTATCTGGTGATCTGTTGGGCGGGGGTCAAAAATGGGACACGCAGCTTCCATCCAAGCCAGCAATAATCCCTCCCAAATTTCAAGGCCTTTTGAGAAGGATTTGCTTTTCGCTCTTTGGGTGGGCTCTGATTCATGGAGACAAAAAAACTGAGACAGCTGTCGCCTTTCCTTGTCCCGCCCCCCAATATTATTCTTAATTTAATTCATTAACTCTAACCCTTCACCCTAAGGTCCCAGGCTGGGTTGTATTAGATTAAAAAAAGCAAACACATAAACGGCAAAGAATAACAACAAATAACTTTAAAAGCAACAAAATCCAGACATATATTTAGATTTGCAATGGTTCTGTGTTAGAAATCTTCACTGCTGTTTTCTAAAGAGAGATGACTTTTACCTCACGGGTTGTGTGCGCGCAGGAATATAATTGGTTTAATACTTCAAACTGCCTCGAAACCTCTTTGCCAATCGATAGTATATTCAAATCGCCGCTACCCCACCCCAATCACGGTAATTATTATTTTGTCCGATTTCAAGAGGCAAAATCCTAAGGCAAAAAAGTAGGTCAATAAGGGATTCAACATTCCCCGGGAGATGTGGGGCAGGGGCTCCTGGACTTAAATCTCCTTCCTTATTTGTAGAGCAAGGGGTTGTAACACACACACAAACACACACTCTTTTCTAGCCTTGGCCAAACTCAAGGGTTTCCCATTGCAGCCTTTCTCAACTTGTGGGTCCCCAGATGATGTTGGACTACAACTCCCATCACCCCTAGCTAGCAAGGCCAGAGCTCAGGGATGATGGGAGTTGTAGTCCATCAACATCTGGGGACCCACAGGTTGAGAAGCGCTGCATTAGGGCAGTGTTTCCCAACCTTGGGCCTCCAGCTGTTTTTGGACTACAACTCCCATCATCCCTAGCTAGCAAGACCAGTGGTCAGGGATGATGGGAATTGTAGTTCAAAAACAGCTGGAGGCACAAGGTTGGGAAACACTGCATTAGGGCATCCAATTGGCTGCTGTGAGAACAGGATGCTGGGCTAGATGGGCCCTCATTGGCTGAATCTTCTCCAGGACTCTTCTTATTGTCCCGCCCCCCACACTGGGTGTTTTGCACTACAACTTCCATCAGCCCCTGGCTAGCACAGTCAATGATCAGGGATGATGGGAACTGTAGTTCAAAACATCTGCCGGTCTTGGCAGTTCTGAGTCACTCATTGTTTAAGACAGAAATGGGAGGAGGGTGATCAACGACTTTGTCCAGACTCTCACTTTTGGGAATATGGCAATCCCAGCCATGATAGCTGGGGCTGATGGGAACTGTAGTCCAATATTATCTGGAAGGCTTTGGGCTCCTCAACCCTGCTTTATACCTCTGAAACGTCCATTAATATATGTCAGAACGTGTATTAATATATGTTAATATCAATCCAGACGGTGACAGCAGTCACGAAATTAAAAAGACGCCTGCTTCTTCGGAGAAAAGCAATGACAAACCTAGACAGCATCTTAAAAAGCAGAGACATCACATTGCCAACAAAGGTCCGTATAGTTCAAGCTATGGTTTTCCCAGTAGTGATGTATGGAAGTGAGAGCTGGACCATCAAGAAGGCTGATCGCTGAAGAATTGATGCTTTTGAATTATGGTGCTGGAGGAGACTCTTGAGAGTCCCACGGACTGCAAGAAGATCAACCCTATCCATTCTTGGGGAAATCAGCCCTGAGTGCTCACTGGAAGGACAGATCCTGAAGCTGAGGCTCCAAGACTTTGGCTATCTCATGAGAAGAGAAGACTCCCTGGAAAAGACCCTGATGTTGGGAAAGATTGAGGGCACAAGGGGAAGGGGATGACAGAGGACGAGATGGTTGGATAGTGTTCTCGAAGCTACCAACATGAGTTTCACCAAACTATGGGAGGCAGTGGAAGACAGGAGGGCCTGGCGTGCTCTGGTCCAGGGGGTCACGAAGAGTCGGACACGACTAAATGACTAAACAACAACAACAATATAAATCCAACCTCTCAGACCAAGTGGGAAGCAAGAGTCCTTTGACAGGAGGCCACACACGGATTCAAATTTCCATATTGTAAATTAAAGTGTTTGAGATATATTTGATACTATTTAATTTACACTATATATTTATATTATGTGTATGTGTGTATAACATGACACAATTGGTAGTCTTAATGTATTTCGTTATTAAGCCAATTGAATACACAAACAGATGGGTGTGCTTTCACTGACAACGCAAAAGGATTGCTTTAGGAGGGTTTTTTCTTGAGTGGACCACCCTAATTGGTTGGGATATGAAAGAGCCTGTGGCGCTCCAGCGACACTGCTGGACTCCCAACTCCACCAGTCCCTGACCATCAGCCACGCTGGCTGGGGATGATGGGAGCCTGACCCTACAACATCTAGAAGGCCCATCAATGGTTTAAAATAGGTGCAAGCTTTTGGGCCACACGGGATCTTTTTTTAAAAAAAAAGATCTCCAATAATGAAGTTGTTTAGGAAGTTCAAAGCTCCGTCTAGATTTTAGGAGCTGAAAAACTTGCTTCAGACATGCTGTTTTCCACAGCGGGTAAGGCTGTAGCTCCGTGGCACAGAGCACCTGCTTGGCATGCAGAATGAGGCAACTCTCATAGACACACTTTTTTGTGTGCTTTAGAGGATGGATGAGGACCCTCAGGCTCTGAACTCGCCGTCCTCTCCTGGGCTGCACTGTGCACCCTTTGTGCTCCTGCTGCGCTGGGGTGCATAACTGAACCCTCAATGAGAGGGGAGCGGGTGCAAGCGAGCGAACTAGCCTACCGCACAAAAGTAATGTTTATATTCATTGCTCCGTCCACGCAATGGCATGTGGCACTTCGAAGGTGGCCCAGGAGGGACAGCGGCCCTCAGCCTGAACAAGGTTTCTAGCTAAAGACTCTGATCCTAAGGTACAAACCACCACCTGGGAGACGCATCCACAGCATACATTTAAATAGAAATCGTGGGACATGTTTTCTTGTTCTTCCTATTGTGATATCCGCCACCATTTCATTAATCCAATTTTACAAAGTAGGAAGATCCAAATATTGATTATCTTTCGACTGACCGGTCTCCTGAGATTACTGCCAAAATACCTAGATTTCTTGTGCAGCAGCCATAGCTTGTCGGCGCAGGATCTTGTCCGAACTACTGACACCTCAAATTGTTCCTTATAATTATTTCATATTCCCCACTGTTTTTTATATTTTACATTGTTTCTAACGCCTATATTTAATATTGTACTTAATGTACCCTATGTGTTTTCTGTCTTTTTGTTTTCTTCCCTCCTCCTCAACTGGTTATTGGCTGAAATAAATTAATGCAACCATTCAAATCACCATTACGTCACTTTAAACAGTCATGGCTTCCCCCACCCCATTAATTCTGGGAGCTGTAGCGTGTTAAGGGTGCTGAGAGTGGTTCGGAGAACCCCTTTTCCCCTCGCAGAGCTACAATTCCCAGAGGGTCCTGCGAAGAGGGGCTAAACCACTCTGGAAACTATAGCTCTGTGGGGAGAATAAGTGAGGCCTCTTCGCAACTCTCAGCATCCTTAACAAACTACAGTTCCCAGGATTCTTTGGGGAGGCTGGAACTTAGTTGAATACAACTGTATGGTGCATTTAGTGTGCCCCTGGGAACTGTAGTTCGTTAAGGGTGCTGGGAGTTGTCAGGAGACCCCCTGTTCCCCTCAGAAAACCGCAGTTCCCAGAGTTCCCTGGGAAGAGGGACCGACGCTGGGAGTTGTAGCTTTGTGACAAGACCTGACAACAACTCCCACCAACCTTAACAAACGACAGTTCCCAGAATCCTTTGGGGGGGGAAAGCCATGAGTGTTTAAACTGCTACCAAGAAGACAAAAACTTCAAGAAAGAATGGGGAAAATTTATAACTTACTTAGAAGACCGCTGTAAGCAGATGAAAACATTAGCAGGATTTTAATCGAATTTGCAATGTGACAGATAAGGTGGGTAAAATGGATAGATATAAAATATAGACGAGGATATAATATGCAGCTGAAAACGTTGAAATTAGGACCCACTGATGGGATGAGGGGAAGTCGCGAGATTCAGATAAATCTCAAAATGTGGCTATGTATTTGGTACAGTGGTACCTCGGATTACATACGCTTCAGGTTACAGACTCTGCTAACCCAGAAATAGTACCTCGGGTTAAGAACTTTGCTTCAGGATGAGTACAGAAATCGTGCTCCGGCGGCGCAGCAGCAGCGGGAGGCCCCATTAGCTAAAGTGGTGCTTCAGGTTAAGAACAGTTTCAGGTTAAGTACAGACCTCCGGAACGAATTAAGTACTTAACCCGAGGTACCACTGTATTGTTATAAATCCAATTAAATAAATAAATAATTTTTTAATTAGTTTTCATTTTGGAAAATGTGTATATAAGTGTGTTTACAGTGTTACATAGTGTTCTTTGTTTAATTTCTATTTTTTGAAAAAAGTAATAAAAATTAATTTAAAAAATGAATAAAGTGGTATCATAGCGCTTTAAATGTGTCGTGTGAATGTGGCCTCAGTGGGGAGATGGTAATGCCTCTAGCTGAGTTGGTGGAGCGGTGGTGGCGCTGTTGTTCCCATGCGCCGGCTGTGCCACCCTGAGAAACCCCAGCGCCACGGGTTTACCTGCAGGCGGCCATCGAGGGTGCGCTGGATGGTGACGCACTTGCTGGGATGTGCGCCGTTGGTGGTGATGGCCGTGATGAGGGAGTCCAGCTCGTCCTTCTTCTCCTTCAGCTTCTTGACCAGGCTCTCAATGGCCCGCTTGGCAAACGACTCGTTCTCCCCGCCCTGCCGGTGGCACATCAGGCTGTGCACAATGCTCAGGCACGCATCGCTGCTGCTGGGCTGGCTCAGGGACATGGCGGGAGCAGCGTTGTTCTGGACGGGGTGGGGTGGGGGGAGAAGCCAAACAGACAGCCATCAGCCTCCCACACACCAAATAATAATAATAATAATAATAAAAATGGAGATAGATAATTTGTCAAGTTTCCCCAAGGAAGAAGTTGATCTTTTAATGGAGTACCACCTTTGGAACTCATCGCCTCTTGATATCAGGCAGGTCCCTTCCCTTCTTTTCCGCATCGGCTAAAAAGGTTTTCGTTTAGAGAAGCCTGCCCAGACTGGTGTGTGTTTTAATCTATTTCTAATTTAACTTTTTAAAAATCACTTTATTCATTTTATTTCAAAGCAGTTTGCTGGAGGGAGGAGATAAAGCAATGAAATCGTCAATAGGAAAAATGGACAACAACAGCTTAAGACTTTTGAGAAGTTAAAATTATAGTAGACCAAAAAAGGAGAGAGATAATTTTATTAGAATCGTAGAATTGGAAGGGACCTTGAGGATCATCTAGTCTGACCCCACCGCAATGTAGCTGTCTCATACAGGAATCGAACCTGCGACCTTGGCATTATCAGTACCAAGCTCTACCTTGGATTTCTTTAATCTTTTTTCTTTTACAATTGAGCAGTGTCTAAATTTCACAAAATAAAATCAATAAACAAACAATGGCTTGTCCGAATCTTTCAAGCTATGGGACAGGAACACTTTATTCAAGAGCTGCTCAATGTTCCATGCAGTGTTTCAAAAGGCTGGAAGCCTCCAGACTCAAAACACCGTGTTGTGTTGTGTTTTATTAGATTATAAACCTGAGGACAGAGATTGGGTTTCTTTTCTGTTTTTAGTGAACTTGTAAAATGCTCCGGGAGCCCTTTTTTTTTTGGCTGACGAAACTCTTTTAGTCAATAAACTTACAAAATTCTTTTAGTAAACAAACTTACAATAATAATTTTTTTCTTAAAAAAACAACCACAACCAGATTCAGGAAAACTGGTGGAAAGCCTTGCTGAAGACAGAATTACCGTCTTTTTCGCTCCCTAAGATGCACCTGACCATAAGGCGCGCCTAGTTTTTAGAGGGGGAATGCAAGAAAAAGAATAATATTTAAAGGAAGCGCTGAGCAGAGCCTGTATGCATCCCAGGCTCTGCTCAGCGCTCCCTTTAAAGAGCCGCGTGGAGCATATGTGCGGTGCTTGCAGGCTTTTCCCTGAGGAGGGAGAAGGGCAGCCTGTCACTGTCCCTCCTCGGGGAAAAGCCCCCAAGAGCCCCACACACGCTCCGCGCGGCGCGGCTCTTGGGGGCTTTTGTGGGAGGTGGAGGAAGTGAGAGAGCCTGCGGAGGCTTCGCGCAGCGCAGCGCTCCTTCTAGAGCCAGTGTGGTGGAGTGGTTAAGAGCTGTAGACTCGTAATCTGGGGAACCGGGTTCGCTTCTCCGCTCCTCCACATGCAGCTGCTGGGTGATCTTGGGCTAGTCATACTTCTCTGAAGTCTCTCAGCCCCACTCACCTCACAGAGTGTTTGTTGTGGGGAAGGAAGGGAAAGGAGAATGGTAGCCGCTTTGAGACTCCTTCGGGTAGTGATAAAGCGGGATATCAAATCCAAACTCTTCTTCTTCTAGCTGTTCTGGCTTTTGGATAGCCCTGCGAAGCCTGCATTCGCTCCATAAGACTCACACACATTCCCCCTTACTTTTTAGGAGGGGAAAAGTGAAGCAGAACCAGCAAGGATGCTTGAAGGATAGGTCCCGTCACACGAACCCAATATAATAATAATAATAATAATAATAATAATAATAATAATAATAATAATAATAATAATTTATTATTTGTACCCCGCCCATCTGGCTGGGTTTCCCCAGCCACTCTGGGCGGCTTCCATAAAAACCAAAGATACAGTAAAATATCACAGATTAAAAACTTCCCTGAACAGGGCTGCCTTAAGATGTCTTCTGAATGTCAGGTAGTTTATTTATCGCTTTGACATCTGATGGGAGGGCGTTCCACAGGGCGGGTGCCACTACCGAGAAGGCCCTCTGCCTGGTTCCCTGTAGCTTTGCTTCTCGCAATGAGGGAACCGCCAGAAGGCCCTCGGCGCTGGACCTCAGCGTCCGGGCAGAATGATGGGGGTGGAGACGCTCCTTCAGGTCTACTGGTCGAGGCCGTTTAGGGCTTTAAAGGTCAGCACCAACACTCTGAATTGTGCTCAGAAACGTACTGGGAGCCAATGTAGGTCTTTCAAGACCGGTGTTATGTGGTCTCGGCGGCTGCCCCCAGTCACCAGTCTAGCTGCCACATTCTGGATTAGTTGTAGTTTCCGAGTCACCTTCAAAGGTAGCCCCACGTAGAGCGCATTGCAGTAGTCCAAGCGGGAGATAACTAGAGCATGCACCACTCTGGCGAGACAGTCCACGGGCAGGTAGGGTCTCAGCCTGCGTACCAGGTGGAGTTGGTAGACAGCTGCCCTGGATACAGAATTGACCTGCGCCTCCATGGACAGCTGTGAGTCCAAAATGACTCCCAGGCTGCGCGCACCTGGTCCTTCAGGGGCACAGTTACCCAATAGAGTTTTGAGAGTGTCAATAAGCTTATAGAGGTGGATCCAGTCATTATTGTGGGCTTAAATGAAAAGACTTTTGATAAAAGTCCTACACACCAAAGACTCCTGATTATTTGGGAACATGAGATGAGAGGACTGGTGGGTCAGCAACTGGAGAAGGAACAGAGAGAAGAAATAAATGGACAGTGCTCCCAATGGAGAGATGTGGGAAGCAGAGTCCCACAAGGCCTGATATTGGACCTGTTAAGGGTACTGGGAATTGTAGCCCTGCGAGGGGCAAACTACAGATCCCAGGATTCTTTGGCCAAAGCCACATGCTTTAAATGTATGGTGTGTTTATGGGACCCTCAACAGTTCAGGGAAATGTTTTAGCACACATAAACAATTGCAAGCTGTTGTGGGGGGGGGGGGGGACCTGGTACAACCTGACACAGTTCAAGGATTCTATAACACGGCTTAAAAAAATTCACGTGATTGTTTTTGTGTGTCAAGGGCAAGTATGAACTGGGAGGTGGGGAATACAAAACAACCCCCTCCCAAATGATTCAAACTTATCTCAATTCCCTTGAGAACTAGAAATTTGCTTGTTTCTTTTTAATGAAAAGGGACGTCCTTTGGTGGATGAGCTCCGAGCTGAATACCAAACACTTTGTCACAAACGCTGATAACACACACAGAGCGCAGGTTTTAGGGCAAATGTGCTCCTGAAAGATGTAGTGACAGCAAAACATTGGGATGGATAATTTGGAAGAGGATTAGGCAAATGAACGCAGGATAAAGCTACCAATGGCTATGCTCTAACACAGGGGTCAGCAAACTTTTTCAGCAGGGGGCTGAATCACTGTCCCTCAGACCCTGTGGGGGGCCAGACTATATTGGGGGGGGGGGATGAACGAATTCCTATGCCCCACAAATAACCCAGAGGTGCATTTTAAATAAAAGCACACATTCTACTCATGTAAAAACACCAGGCAGGCCCCACAAATAACCCAGAGATGCATTTTAAATAAAAGGACACCTTCTACTCATGTAAAAACACGCTGATTCCTGGACCGTCCGCAGGCCGGATTTAGAAGGCGACTGGGCCGGATCCTGCCCCTGGGCCTTAGTTTGCCTACCCATGCTCTAACTACACTGTCGGAGGCAGTATGCTGGGAATCGCATGAGGGGAGCACGCTGTTCAGCTTAGTCCTCGCTTGTGGGCTTCCCATTAAGATTTCTGGCTGGCCAATGCGAGAACAGATGGCCCTTGGGCCTCATCCAGCAGCTCTCGTGTTGTTATATTATTGCTCTCCGCTACCCACTGAGGGCTAGAAACTTACTAGGTCCTGTTTACCGAAAGGGAGCAGTCTTAGGATGCTTGTAAGATTATGCTCACATGATTACAGCGGTACCTCAGTTTCCGAACGTAATCCGTTCCAGGAGACCGTTTGCATTCCGCAACGTCCAAAAGCCGAAAACTCAGTACGGAAGCCTCAAAATGGAAAACTCAATACGGAAGCCGCGTTTCATGTTTGACTTCTGAGGCGCGTTCGAAAACCGAAGCATTTGCTTCCGAGTTTGCGGCGTTTGTCAACATTTGGAAACTGAGGTGCCGCTGTGTTTTATTATTATTATGCTCTGTAAAATGTGTTCTTAATGTGGTAAGACGCCCGGGGATCTTTTCATAGAGTCATAAAATCACAGTTATAAGGGAACTTAAGGATCATTTCATCCAACCTCTCACAGTGCAGGAATAAGCAACTGTCCCATATGTTTACCAGCTCCATCTGGTACGCAGGATGAGACCCTACCTGCCCACAGACTGTCTCGCCAGAGTGGTGCATGCTCTGGTTATCTCCCGCTTGGACTACTGCAATGCGCTCTACCTTTGAAGGTGACCCGGAAACTACAACTAATCCAGAATGTGGCAGCTAGACTGGTGACTGGGAGCGGCCGCCGGGACCACATAACACCGGTCCTGAAAGACCTACATTGGCTCCCAGTACATTTCGGGGCACAATTCAAAGTGTTGGTGCTGACTTTTAAGGCCCTAAATGGCCTCGGTCCAGTATACCTGAAGGAGCGTCTCCACCCCCATCATTCCGCCCGGACTCTGAGGTCCAGCGCTGAGGGCCTTCTGGCGGTTCCCTCGCAGTGAGAAGCGAAGCTACAGGGAACCAGGCAGAGGGCCTTCTAGGTGGTGGCACCCGCCCTGTGGAACGCCCTTCCATCAGATGTCAAAGAGAAGAACAACTACCAGACTTTTAGAAGACATCTGAAGGCAGCCCTGTTTAGGGAAGCTTTTAATGTTTAATATTGTATTTTAATATTCTGCTGAAAGCCATCCAGAGTGGCTGGGGAAACCCAGCCAGATGGGCAGGGTATAAATAAATTATTATTAGGATCAAACCTGCAACACTGAAGTTATCTAACCAATTGAGCGCTATATAAATTGAAATCATCATCATAATATCTGAGCTGAATACCAGATTACTCACTGCAAACACTGATGCACTCAGCACTGGATTGGGGGGGGGGGAGGTCTCTTGAAGCATTTTGGGGGAAGTGCATGATGGGAAATTTATGCTAATAGGTGAAAGAGGGCGGTCATTGGTTTGCTTCAGAAAGAGAGCTCAACAGCTGGGGGTGGAAGCCACATGGGCCGTGAATAAACTGAGCTTCCCAGTCCAGGGACAGTCTACCTCTTAAGTTCCTGTCCTGGAGGGGGGTATATAAACAGTGGGCTTCCTACAGGAATCCTGGAAAGAGAGACGAGTTAAGCCTGGAGAAGAGGAGGCTAAGGGGTGATATGATAGCCATGTTCAAATATATAAAAGGATGTCATATAGAGGAGGGAGAAAGGTTGTTTTCTGCTGCTCCAGAGAAGCGGACACGGAGCAATGGATCCAAACTACAAGAAAGAAGATTCCACCTAAACATTAGGAAGAACTTCCTGACAGTAAGAGCTGTTTGACAGTGGAATTTGCTGCCAAGGAGTGTGGTGGAGTCTCCTTCTTTGGAGGTCTTTAAGCAGAGGCTTGACAACCATATGTCAGGAGTGCTCTGATGGTGTTTCCTGCTTGGCAGGGGGTTGGACTCGATGGCCCTTGTGGTCTATTCCAACTCTATGATTCTATGATTCTAAGCCGATCCAGCAGGGCTCTCCTTACAGAAATAGCCATGGCTGTTGAGAATGAAGCCTCCCTAGTCTTACGCAGTCTACCTCCAAAGGCCAGGTACTAGGAAGAGAGAGCAGGGCTGAGCTGTTGCTTGTGAGCTTTGTGGCTTCTTCCTTTCAGAGTCAGGATATTGGGCTAGATGGGCATTTGACCTAACAAAGATCTTCTTAGGTTCTTAAGGACTGGAGCAGAGATTTGGGTCAGGGCTGGCAACGTTCCCATTTATATATATCTCCCTCCTTCAGAGTATAACAACTCAGGAAGAGGGCTGCATGCACTACACTTTATATAAGCATGTTTACATTATGCAGATTTCCAGCAAAACCTCTGTTGCCTTGACCCAATTTATTATGCAAATGCTTTTACTACTTTCCAGGAATTATTCTGGAATTCACGGAGAGCAGAGATAAGGGGCCATGAGCAAGGCTCCGAAGTATCCGCCTTCTAAAGCGGGACAGGGAACTCTCCAGATATTCTGGGACTCCACCTCCCACCATGCAGCGCATCCAACGGTCATGGATAATGGGAGTTGTAGTCGAGCGATGTCTGGAGAGCCACCGATTCTCTTCTAAAAGACAGGCACCTCATTCAGAAACTCCCTGAGGCTTTCTGAGATTGCACCCGCCTGTCTTCTATCATTGCTTAGAACCATGAGAGCTAGTAAGTTTGCCCAGCTTAGAAAGGAAAGAAAGCAAAGGTTCTTTGGAACGTAACTGGTCAAAGATATATCTAAGCCAGAAACGAACCTACATGAGACATAAGACAAAAATCTCTGGAAGAAGTGAGGTGGAAAAACAGTCACCACTGAGCCGGACGGAGCAATGGTCTGAGTCAGCATAAGGCGGATTCCTACATCCGCATTTAGACCAGGCCTTTATTAGAATTGTAGATTTGGGACCCCAAGGTTCATCTAGTCCAACCCCCTGCAATGCGCGGGTGGCGCTGTGGGTTAAACCACAGAGCCTAGGACTTGCCGATCAGAAGGTCGGCGGTTCAAATCCCCACGACGGGGTGAGCTCCCGTTGCTCGGTCCCTGCTCCTGCCCACCTAGCAGTTTGAAAGCACGTCAAAGTGCAAGTAGATAAATAGGTACCGCTCCGGCGGGAAGGTAAACGGCGTTTCTGTGCACCGCTCTGATTCGCCAGAAGCGGCTTCGTCATGCTGGCCACATGACCCGGAAGCTGTACGCCGGCTCCCTCGGCCAATAAAGCAAGATGAACGCCACAACCCCAGAGTCGGCCACGACTGGACCTAATGGTCAGGGGTCCCTTTACCTTTACAACACAGAATACATTTGACCATGAGGACCAGAAGCTTAGCGTTACTTTTAAGGGAAAGGCCACAAAGTCACTGGTTGAGAATATGCTTTGCACACACAGAAGATAACCAGAGTCTGAAGAGGCACTGCCAGTCCGACCTGAACAGACCAACGTTTTGACTTGGCGTAAGGCCACATTCGGGGAGGTGACCGTCCCCCACCTAATCCTGGAATAAAACAAGAACGGATGTAGCAGCAATAAAGGAACGTGCTTGTGCCAGGATGATGGGAGTCATGCGAGGGGAAAAAGATTCCTCCCTGTAACTTTGGAAGGAGGGACAGGGAGGCGTGAAGCCCAGCCATCGCAGCAGAAAAACTGGAGACTGTGGGTGGGTCACGTGCAAGATTCCGTGCCCTTTAATAAGTTTCAGAAGAGAAGGATATTTATTCACCAGTCTGAGCTCCCTGGGGAAAGAGGAAAGGGGAAAGATCGACTAGAGGTTTTGTTTTGTTTTTGTCTTCCATGCTCTGGGTGGGCAGATAAAATAATATTGGGGTGCAGTGTTTATCCCACACCTAGTAGACACACATTGAAATCAGCAGTTAAAAACTAGCCTGCTTTGTTTGACTGTGTCTGCTCAGGGCAGAAAGAGCATCAAACTCAACCCAGGGTTCTTTCGCTCAGAAGAGAAGTAGAGCCTAGTGGTTAGAGGTGAGCAGAGGGAAGACTCGTGGTGCCGAGGAGGGGCGAGGGGGATGTGAGGTCCCGGACTCCTGGGTTCTTTCTCTCCCCGCACTTTCTCTTTGGGCCCAAACATGGGTCAAAGCTGGTGGGGATAATGTAGCCCAGTCAAACATATAAATGTCCCCCGGGCAGCACATCCAGGTACAGAGACTTAGAGACGGGAATCATCTTGAAATGACACAGAAACACAAAAAACTGCCTTGCACTGAGTCAGACGGTTGGTCTATCTAGCTCAGTATTGTCAACACGGGCCAGCAGCAGCTCTCCGGGGCTTCGGGCAGGAGGGTGTGTGTGTGTGTGTGTGTGTGTGTGTGTGCATCTCTCCATGCCCTACCCGGAGATGCCATCGTGAATCGAACCTGGCACCGCCTGCGTGCAAAGCCACCGCGCTGCAGCCTTTCCCCATAAACAATGCAAGGTTCTAGTCCTCATCGTTCTGAACAAAGCACAAACCCTCAGGCAGGGGCCTCTCCTCCCAGCCCTACCTGGCGATGCCTGGGACCTTTTGCAGGCCAAGCAGATGAGCTGCTACGGCCCCTCCCGGAGAAGTGGGGTGGGGTGTAGGGAAAGAGAGGGGCAACGATCTGAAGCCGGAGGAGACGAAACTCCGGACCCCGGTGCCCAGAAGTGGCGTGGAAAGGTTGGGGGGCAGCGATGCGGGAGACCCTCCTGCCAAATCAAACCGGGGGGGAAACTCACCGGCTATGGGCGATCCCTCTCCGGGGTGCACGGATGCTCTCCGCGGGGCTCAGGCATGCTCCCCTGGACGTGGCAGGCGGATTAAGCCCCCCTTGAAGGCGGCGGGACGCGCGTCGGTGGCGGCGGCTGCTGCTTTTGGAGAGGAGCGCGCGCTCTCTTTGCGCTCCCTTCTCCAAATGGGAGCGAAAGACGGGGAAGGAGGCGGCGGCGAAGGCGCAGACTAAACACAGCCGAGCCAGACAATCGCCTGCCTGCTAGTCATGCTGTCAGCCGCAGCTTCGCCTCGGGGGGAGAGAGAGAAAGAGGGAGAGGGAGAGGGAGGGAGATGGGAAAAAGCAAATAGCGAATTCTCCACGGGGTCAGGCTGAGCGCGCAGCCCCTGCCGCCCTCCCGCTTCCCCATCTCCCGCCTCTCTCTCAACCGAACGAGATATTTATTGACATTTCTACCCCCGTCCTTCTTATCCCAGGAGATCACGCTTCCCTTCCCTGTTTGGTCCTTACAACAACCCTGAGGGGTAGGCTGGGGGGAGAGCGCGCAGGTGGCTGAGTGGGGAGGATTCGAACCCTGGACCTTGCCACCTCTGTTCATTTTGATTTGCATACCGCCTTTCCAGATTACTGCGCGCGAGGCGGGTTTGCAAAGCCGGAGAAACAGTAAAACAGGCGGCAGAGATCACGCACGCGCCTGATCACAACCTGATCCAATATGAAAGTGTCATAATAAAGACATAACTTTGGAACAAACAGCTTCTATCCAAGCAAGCGATGTTCAGCACTCCATTAGAATACAATAGTAAACAGCAAAATTAAAAATCAGAAAATGGTAATTAAGCAAATCCAGTCTATTGCAATTGCAATAATTACTAATCAATAAAAATAACAGCAATGCATAAAATGCATAAAATACAAGGACATATAAAACCATGTAAAAGGATCAAATTGAGAAACAAGGACACACAATTTTTTTTTAAAAAAAATATATCCCTGAATTCCCAGGCCCTTTAAGCTGCTACACCGCACTCAAACCTGGAAGCCAGGGCTGAGGGTGGGAGGGGCTACGGGAAGTAGGCAGGGCAACAGATGCAAATTTCACCTTTGTATGGCAATTGAGTTTCTTCTACACCTGCGCCTACCTCTCTATCCTCTGTCCAGGGAAGCGAGGGGCACGTGCACAGTTTGAGGACACATTCCGGTCAGCCTCCTCCAAAAAACCTAGCATGAAGCAGGACCAGTGCAGGCCTGGGAAATGCCCTGAGGGCCAGAGAAAGAAGTCTGGAGGGCCACATTCAATGCCCAGACCTGAGGCTCCCCATCCGTGCTTTATGCACCAGATCTTGCTTCCTTTCCCAATCGGGGCAACCATAGCTAGGATTACCCCTTTAGCCCTTCTTCTCTCTTCCAGAACTTAACAACAATAACTGAGCAGCTTCTATTCTTCCCTCTCCCCTGTAATAAAAAGGTAAAGGGACCCCTGACCATTAGGTCCAGTCGTGGCCGACTCTGGGGTTGCGGCGCTCATCTCGCTTTATTGGCCGTGGGAGCCGGCGTACAGCTTCCGGGTCATGTGGCCAGCATGACTAAGCCACTTCTGGCGAACCAGAGCAGCACACAGAAACGCCTTTTACCTTCCCGTCGGAGCGGTACCTATTTATCTACTTGTACTGGTGTGCTTTCAAACTGCCAGGTTGGCAGGAGCAGGGACCGAGCAACGGGAGCTCACCCCGTCACGGGGATTCGAACCGCCGACCTTCTGATCAGCAAGTCCTAGGCTCTGTGGTTTAACCCACAGCGCCACCCGCGTCCCTCTCCCCTGTAATATCCCCTGGTTATTACCTCTCTTCCTGAGACTTATAAAAGATCGGAGCAGTCTCTCCTTCCACCCACCAATTCACAGGCCTTGGCTCCCCACATTGTCCTATACCAGGTCGGGGGGTAGAGTTGGGAACCGTGCCTGTTGAGTTTCAGCCTGTCGGCATCAAAATCAGGCAGCAGGAACCTTGACTTAAGCCAGAAAGTCCATATCAACATTTCCCAAAAGTGCGTGCCAGGCACAGACTAAAGTGTCAGACCGACTAAATGTGTAAAAGTCTTTCATTAGGCACACAAAAACCCCAAAATACTAGCTGTGGAGGCACCTGTCCTCTGTAACTCAGGGTGATTCACTGCCCAAATTCTGCCTCCTTCATTTATTTAGTATCTGTTACCTTTTTTTTTTTGCTCACCCTTCCTACAAAGAATGAAGGATTCTCCCCCTTCTTAACCTGCACAACAAACTCCATGAATCTGTCCAATCCTCTTATAAACCAACAGAGTTGGTGGTGGGGTGTTAGGGGAGAGGTAGTGCCTCTGATAAGGGACACGGGTGGCGCTGTGGGTTAAACCACAGAGCCTAGGACTTGCCGATCAGAAGGTCAGTGGTTCGAATCCCTGCGATGGGGTGAGCTCCCATTGCTCGGTCCCTGCTCCTGCCAACCTAGCAGTTTGAAAGCACATCAAAGTGCAAGTAGATAAATAGGTACCACTCTGGCGGGGAGGTAAACGGCATTTCCGTGCGCTGCTCTGGTTCGCCAGAAGCGGCTTCGTCATGCTGGCCACATGACCCGGAAGCTGTACACTGGCTCCCTCGGTCAATAAAGCGAGATGAGCACCGCAACCCCAGAGCCGGCCACGACTGGACCTAATGGTCAGGGGTCCCTTTACTTTTTCTAGTGCCTCTGATAGGGGTGCATGCCATGCTCCTTCTGGGGCAGTTTGTCCACCTTTGGTCCCCACCCTGCACTCAGCTCTCACCTGCGGCTCCCAGAAGCTGTCCGCATGCGATAGCGCCCACACCCCGGGAAACAGCTTTGACTGGCCAGCTAAAGCAGATGAGGGGAGTCAATGGGTCTCAAACCCTCGGTGAGTTAGGGGCTTCCCCTGCATGCGAAAACAGGCTCTGGAGGACTGAGCGGATGAGACCAAGAGTGGGTCTCTTTTGGGACGAGAAGGCTGTAGAACACGGGTGTCAAACACAAGGCCCGCGGGCCGAATCCGGCCTGCCAGACCTCGTCATGTGGCCCGTAGAACATGGGTAGGCAAACTAAGGCCCGGGGGCCGGATCCGGCCCAATCGCCTTCTCAATCCAGCCCACGGACGGACCAGGAATCAGCATGTTTTTACATGAGTAGATTGTGTCCTTTTATTTAAAATGCATATCTGAGTTATTTGTGGGGCCTGCCTGGTGTTTTTTCATGAGTAGAAGGTGTGCTTTTACAGTGGTACCTCTGGATGCGAACAGGATCCGTTCTGGAGCCCCGTTCGCATCCTGAAGCGAACGCAACCCGAGTCTGTGCGGGTCGCGAATCGCCACTTCCGCGCATGTGCGTGACGTCATTTTGAGCATTTGTGTATGCGCAAGCAGCGAAGCCCAGAAGTAACGCGCTCCGTTACTTCCGGGTCGCCACGGAGCGCAACCCAAAAACGCTCAACACAAAGCTACTTCAACCCAAGGTATGACTGTATTTAAAATGCATCTCTGGGTTATTTGTGGGGCATAGGAATTCATTCATTTCCCCCCAAAACAATATAGTCTGGCCCCCCACAAGGTCTGAGGGACAGTGGACCAGCCCCCTGCTGAAAAAGTTTGCTGACCCCTGCTGTAGAAGGAAGTGAGGGGCAGATGGGGCTCGTCCACCTGGGAAGGGAGCCCATCTAGAAGAAGGAAAGCTCTGATCCTAAACCTCTACCTTTGGGAGAAGAAAAGGCTCAGGAATAAATTCTACACAAATCCAGAGTGGAGCCCCTAAGACGGTTGGACGGCGCCTTGTACGCCTCCTTCCGGCAACTCCTGCAGCCAAGCTGGTGTCAAATGTATTGCTGTTTTCTTTTTGACTACATCAGTGAGGCTGAGAGGGGGGTCTGTGCAGCCCAGGACCTCCAGACACACGGCCCAGGCTTGTGCCCCAAAGAGGTCACTTTGGTGCTGGTTTGACTCCCCTCCATTATCTCTCAAGACAGACGGATGTCAACAAACAGAGTTGGTGGCCATTGCTGCCTCCAGTGGCCATGAGTTCCAGAGTCTTAACTAAGCGCTGAATGTTTATCTGTCCTGAATCTTCCAACATTCAGCTTCACTGAACTTCCACGACTTCTGGTGTTATAAGGGTAAAAGCTTTCCTTTACTCGCTTCCTCCATGCCACGCATCGTTTTATAAACCGTGTCGCCTTTTCTCTAAACGAAAGAGTCCCAAACGTGGCAATCTTTCCTTATAAGGGAGAACACGGAGCCGGTGTTTTTCTGAAAGGAGCATTTGCAAATGGGGAAAAAAACAAACCCCAGAATTCATGGGGCAGAGATGGAAATATTGCGTGAGGGGCAGGTGTGGGAACCCAAATCCTCCCTCCATATAACACACTCTTGTTGTGCATTGCTGTGTCTCAGCAAGCTGATTTCCGAGCAAACTCTGGGAAAATCCTTGGCGGTTCCGCAGACACAACAACAGGAGGAGAGAAATTAATCTCTTGCGAGCCTGGGACACTATAAGATAGCAGGCACAATGTTTTCACACCCTATAAACCCTTCTCCCTTCCAAGAGAATAATAAAAAAGTCCCACAAACTACACATCTGTTGATTATGGTTATGCTTTGTCTCTGCAAGAGGCAGCAACAAATCCAAGTTACTGGAAAAACACAGCAGGGAGAAAAAAGTGAATAGAAAGGTTTTTCCCCCTCCCTCTCTTATAACACTGGGACTGGGGGACATCAAATGAAGGTGAAGGTTCAGGTAAGGTAAAAAAGGTAAAGGACCCCTGGACGGTTAAGTCCAGTCAAAGGCGACTATTCGGGTTCCGGCACTCATCTCGCTTTCAGGCCGAGGGAGCCGGCGTTTGTCCACAGACAGCTTTCTGGGTCATGTGGCCAGAGGGACTAAACCGCTTCTGGTGCAGTGGAACACTGCGATGGAAACCAGAGAGCACGGAAATGCCTTTTACCTTCCCGCCGCAGCGGTACCTATTTATCTACTTGCACTGGCGTGCTTTCGAACTGCTAGGTTGGCAGGAGCAGGGACAGAGCAACGGGAGCTCACCCCATCACGGGGATTCAAACCGCCGACCTTCTGATCGGCAAGCCCAAGAGGCTCAGTGGTTTAGGCCACAGCGCCAACCACAGATAAGGACCAGCCGCCTGAGAAACAGTTTCTATTCAAATGCGATTTTGGTTTTAAACGCAGTGTAAGGTAGTTTCTATGGCAGTATATTGTATTTAATTATGGGGTATCAGAGTTTTTAGGGGGCTAACCGGGCTGGGATAGCTGGCTTGTTGGTTTGTGAATGTCTGGTGTAGATTTTCAGTTTCCTGTATGGGACAATGACAATAAAGATTATCGTATCGTATAAAAGAAAAGCCCTTCTTCTCTCTCGCAGAGCAGCTAAACTGTGGAACTCTCTCCCACAAGGTGTACTGATGGCCACCAGCCTTGTGTGACTTTAAAAGAGCATTAGACAAATGCATGGGAAACAAGGCTTTCAGTGTCTACTGACCCTGATGACTATGCTGTCTGCTTCCACTGTCGGAGGCAGTGATGTGCCTCTGAATATTAGCTGCTAGAAACCGCAAGAGGCGAGAGCTGCTCTTGTGCTCAGGTTGTGCTTGCAGCTTCCCATTGGGGTGTGTGGCTGGCCACTATGAGAACAGGATCATGGACTAGATGGGCTGCTGGTCTGATCCAGTAGCCAGGGTGTTTTAATGCTCTTGTGGAACCTCCAGCGCCAGGGCCAGTCTACCTGATTCCTGGGTTCTTACGGGCATCTGGACACTGTGAAGACAGGATGCTGGACTAGATAGGCTGCTGGTTTGATCCAGAAGGGCCCTTCTTATGTACTTACGGGCTCTGGTGATGCCCCTGGGTGCAGGGGAAGGGAATTGGGGAGGGAAGTTATAGTTCAGATCTGACATTCTTTAGACAACCAGT